CCAACTAGGGGCGCGTACCAAAAATAAAGAAAATAAATAAATGCAGATGCCTGTAATATTTCCTTTCACAATATTGGTTTCCTGTTGTTCCTAAGGAGGGGCCTTAGGCATTTAAAATCTTAGTAGCAATTTTTGGAAGTTCGGTCTTGTGAAATTCCCAGAAAGACCCTTGAGTCTCCCCTAAGTATCTAACTGAAATCTCGAGGAGAGGTCAGTTTTTTTCTAACGGGTTCCTATTTGTTAACCTGTTAACTACAATCAAGGATCAGTCAGGTAGACATGCTGATATTTATTCTAGCCTACAAATGGCGTTAATTACTCAGTGTACTTACAGAAATTAAACTTAAAAGTAACTTGAGGAGGCAGTGGAATCAGAATTAGATTTGTAATTTTGTGTCTTCCCCTTTCAAGCTGCGTCATCTTGGGCAAGTAATTTAACCTTTCTGAGCCTCCATTTCCTTGTTTGTAAAAGGCTGGTGGGGGGATAAGCTAATAATAGTACAGTTGACTCTTGAACAACATGGTTGAACTGCAGAGGTTCACTTATATTCAAATTTTTTTCAATAAATACAGTTGGTCCTTGGTATGTGCCTGGTTCGCATCTGCAAGTTCAACCAACTGCAAATCAATAACAGCATTTCTGCTGTTTCCTAACTACGGATCAAAAATACTGTTTTCAATCTGTGTTTGGTTGAATCTACCTATTCCCCACTCACACCCCACCCCCAGTTGTTCAAGGGTCAACTGTACGTACTTCATATGAAGGGCACATGTATTAAAAGGAGATGATCTGCCCTGACCAGTTTGGCTCACTGGTTAGAGTGTTGGCTTGCTGACTGAAGGGTTCCTGGTTCAATTCCTACTGAAAGGCATGTACCTGGGTTGCATGTTCGATCCCTGGCCCTGGTCAGGGTTGTGCGGGAGGCAACCAATCGATGTGTCACATTGATGTTTCTCTGTCTCTCTCTCTCCCCCTCCCTCCCTTCCCTTCCATGCTATCTAAGGGTCAATAGAAAAATGTCTGGGTGAGGAGTAACCAAAAAAAAAAAAAAAAAGGGAGATGATGTTTGTGGGCTCTGGCTGGGTACCTTAGTTGGTGGGCACATACAAGAATCAACCAGTGAGTTCATGAATGGGTGGAGCAGCAAATCGATGTTTCTCTCTTTCTCCCTTTCTCTGTCTCTCTCTAAAATAAATAAATAGCCCTGGCCGGTTTGGCTCAGTGGTTAGAGTATTGGCCTGCGGTCCAGAGAGATGTGGGTTTGGTTCCCACTAAGGGCACATATCTTGGTTGCAGTTTGTCCCCGGCCCTGGTTGGGTCGTGCTGGAGGCAGCCACTCAATGTGTTCCTTTCACGTCCATGTTTCTCTCTCTCTCTCCTCCTCTCTCTCCCTCCTACTCTATCTGAACAAAATAGAAATGGAAAAAAATATCCTTGAGTGAGGATACAAAAAAATAAATAAGAAAAGGAGATGATGTTTTAATGCACCTGGCACAGAGTTAGTATTCAATAATTGTAAGCTTTTATTATTATTACTGTTGTTAGGTTGAACCATAAGCAATTTGACACTTTTGTAGGTAATATTATATGGTGCAACCTAATATTACCATTTGATCTTGTTCCTTCCATTTTGCCCCTGAAGAGACCAAATGGAGACCATAAAGGGTGACCTCTACTTATAGTCATTTATTCCTGCCATTTGACAGCATTGGTGGTTATCAATTCTGCATTTGTGATAAATAATGGATTATTCCTTCCAATCAATGCTGGGGTATTTCCTGTCTGGATCTTTTGAAGGTTACAATTTTGAGGCTGAGAATTAATGGTGGGAGTAATTTTTCTTTACTCTTTTTGTGCTTTGGACACAGCATTAACATCATCAGACAAAACTAGGGTGCATATATCCTTTGAAGCATGTTGAAGAAGTGGCATTATGATATTTTGTACATGTGAAGGGGCTTATGTGAATGTCTAAAGGTCTCAAGTTGCTAAATGAGATAAACCCTTGAGGTCATTTTTAGTCTTTAGATTGGAGGACCATTAAGATGAGCCAAGGATTTATAAATAATTCTTAAAAAACTTAAAAAAAAATAGCTTAAGTGGCTGTCCTCCATGACTGTATTAATAGTTTCCCAATCTGGCAAATAAAGAAGGATCTGGTATCAGAGTTTTGATAGTATCTTTCACCATCAAGAGATAGGCAAGTCTCACCAGGTGAATAAGTTAAAAGACTGTTGTTCTATGCAGGCATTCAGAGAGGCAGAGCTGAAGCTGACACCCATTTCCTTCTGAGAAAGAAATCTGCAACAGGGAAAGTTTTGATCCAGCTAAATGAACATTGATCCTAATGGGGAGGGATCAGGTCAGGACCATTGCCTTGATTTTTTTATTCTCTGAGGGGTGGAGCATAATGTCATATAGCAGCTAGCTACCAGTGGAATGAGTCAACCATAGCTGAAAGTCACATGAGAGCCATAACACATACCTCATTCAGATCTGCTGGGAGGACTATAATTCCTTGTCTGACAGAAAGAGGCGTGCTTGACCTGGCAATCATTGACAATTAAGGTTTCTACTTTATCTATGCCAACCTAATATTATTTACCTTGAGCTTTGAAATAAGTTTTTAAAATGATTCTCTTTCCTCATACTGTCTCTTTTCTAAGTCATTTTATTATTCCTATGATTAAAACATAAGGTTCAAATTTAGATACTAAAGTATTTTTTCAATTAAAAAGTCTATTATAATAAAAATATTTGTGAAATAAAATTCTTCAGCCTTCTCCCTGGAACAATATCTAATATAATAAGAAAACTGAGATTTTTTCCATGATGATTTTAATTTATGGCATTTGACTGCACATTTTCTCCTTGGTGTCTTCAAAGGACAAATGCAGCTTCCCAACAAGAATTATCACTGATTTTTGGGTCAGGGTAGCATCCTGGAATAATGTTGTTTTGTTCAACGTTGTTTTGTTGTAACATTGATGAGATGCTATAAGAACTCAGCTCTTTAATATCTATTAGACTGCGTAAAACTAGTTTCATTATATGTTGTCGTTTCACTTAAAGTTGCAGAACCTACTAACAAAACAACATTAAGTGAGGACTTACTGTGTAGGACTTGTCCTTAATAAAATTGTGAGCTTGATGAAATTTGTTTGGTTTTTAGCTTCATAGACTGAGAAACTTTATTTCCTCAGTACACATTCATCTCTCAAGGGCCGCTTCCTTAGTTTGCCATGAAAACTATAAAGGTGAAATATTCTAGAAACTTTTCTGTTGGCCTGACTGTTGTGTTGCATCCCCGTTGGCAGCAACTGTATGGAAAGCCAAATGATAAGTAGGCTTCTTGGCAAGGATTTAGGAATTAGTTGTGAAAATGTACTTTGCTAAGAATAGCTAGAGGCCCCACTGAGGGTAGGCATAGCTTTGCTGGAATATTCAATGTCCATGGAGCTAAATTACCCTTTCTTGTCTTCCAGCCAGAATTTTGCTAGCAGACATTTCTTCTTCTTTTCTTCCAGAACTGAGAAACTAACTCCCTTTTTAGAGGGCTATCTTGTCTGGATCTAAGAGTTGTCGCTCAGTTTCTATAAAGTGATTTTTTTTCATGTCTTTGCTATTGTTCATGAATTCTTGATTTGCTAGCTACCTCTCAGAGGGCATCATTATGTCCTAGTTTTGGGAGTACCTCACAGTGCCCTCATGTTCAAGTAGTTCCTTGGGGTGGTAAATAGAGTTAGCTATGACAAATGTTTTCCCTTCGTAGCTATCAGCCTGTATATAAAAGGAAATTCTGTCTCCAACCTGAGTCAGAAACTGTTGCAAAACAGGAAACTCCTTGGCTCTCTGATTAAAAGCAACTCCATTCTTAATTATTCCAACTTCGTCACCTTGGAAGATGTTATTTTCTGGAGGAGTCCTTTCATCTCATTATTCTAAATCATAATAACCAGATTTGTGATTTATGTCTGTATGCTGTCTTTATGTTGGCTTTCTGTGGTTCCACAAAGCTTATCTACTTTACAGAATAAGAATGTGGTATACTCAGTACGTGTATCAATTCTTAAAATTTATATGGGTATGTAAGATAGTCAAAATCATCAAACAGTACAGAAAGATGTTTAAAGAAGTCTCTCTCTCTTTGACCCTGAAGTCCCCTTTCTTTACTTCCTGTCCTCGGAGGTGACCAGGATGACTAAGCAGTCCTTTTTCCATTGTTCTTTTTTTGAATCTTCACCCGAAGACATTTTTGCATTTATCTTGAGATAGAGTGGGAGGGAGGGAGAGAGGAAGAGAGAGAGAGAAACATCCATGTGAGAGAGACACATCGAGTGGATGCCACCCACATGACCTCAACTGGGGCCCAGGACAAACTGCAAACAAAGTATGCGCCCTTAGCAGGAACCGAACCCAGGCCTCTCTGGTCCGTGGGCTGACACTCTAACCACTAAGCCAAACCAGCCAGGGCTTTACCTTGATCTTAATGGCATACTGCATCTGCTTGGAATTTAATTTTGATAATCTTATTATATTTCCTTTAGAATTGCTTTTAGACAGTTGATGTTTTAGTATGGTAGGTTTTATAGGTAAATGTCATGGTGCTTATACATTTAAAATGTGGGAAATTGTCTTTTATCTATACCAGGGTTTCTTAATGGTGGCACTACTAACATTTGGCAAAGGATAATTCTTGTTGTAGGAGGAAGGGAGGGTTGTCCTGTGTATTTTAGGATGGTTAACAGCATCCTTTGCTTCTAACCACTAAATGCTAGTAGCAGGTCCCTTCAAGTCCTGACAACTGAAAGTGTTCTTAGACATTACCAAAGGTCCCCTGGGGTGAGGATTGGAGAAAACCACCCCAGGTTGAGATGAATTATCTATACCATTAGATAACTTTCCGTTTTTGTACATCTGGGCATGTTAATGTTTTATTACATAAGTCTATTTCAATGTGTTTGCTATAGCAATGCCTGTTTTTATTTTCTAACCTTAGCAAATTGCTCCAGAAACTCATCGTTCAAAAGAAGTGCCCCTGAACGAGAGCATTTGTCTGCAAGTGGGGTCCCAGTGTAGCACCAATGAAAGTGACAATCCGAGCACTTTGGTGGAAAAGTGCATCTCGCCCCCTGAAGGTAACAATGGAAAGCAATTTCTCTTGATATATAGGGAATAAATCCAAGTTATCCATATGCTTATATTCAGTGTTCATTAATTTATTCAGCTGCAAATATTTGCTGAGTTTAATAAGTTCTAAGCACTTGTACTAGGTGCAAACAACACAATGATCAATATGAGGACATCCCTGCCTTCAAGGTGCTCACCAACACCTTGAATAACAATGCCTAACAGTTATATAGTACTTAGTAATTTGTAAAATGACACACAAACATGCTTTTCCTAAATAAAATCTCATAAGCTTACCTTGTGAAATGAGCAATGCACATATTATCTTTTCCATTTTATGAAGGAACTAAGTGAGTTGCCGTAGGTTTTCAGATTCCAGACCCAGTGCTTAAAAAAAAACCCAAAATATGTACTATCTTCCTCATTATATAGAGACATTAGTTTGATATACAGGATATATTTGGGGAAAGATATTAAAAATGGAAAATGAATTGCTGGCCTGGCTTCTATTCAAGATTAGCCCTAGGAAAAGCTGTCAAGTAGTCAGGTTGACCATTGTCCCCCACCTGCCTTCCCACCCATCACCCAGTTTTCTTTTGGCTTTTATGTTGCATGCAGAGAGTAGCATGTATTGATTAAGAGCAGAGCTACCAGAACCAAAATGTCCAAGTTTAAAACTCAGTGCTACCAGTTTCTAGTTCTGTAACCATAGGTGGATCACTTAGCCCTTCCTCCCTTGTTTCCTCACCTGTAAACTGGAGATGATGGTACCTACCTAAACAGGACTATTGAAAGGATTACATATGTCAGTATAAGTGAGGCACTTAGAATAATGCCTGGCAAAGAGTATATGCTCTGTATATATTATCTATTAATTTTGTGTTGTCTCTTCGTTGTGCAGAGTCCATCTTCTACCTCCAAACCTTAGCACTATGTGGCGTGTTCTTCAGACCATTCTGTCTACCTGCCTTGCACTGATCAAAAGTATATAAAGAAATATTTATAAAATTTGGTACTGCTAGGAGGCTGGGAGCATGGTTAAAATCAACTTACCTCCCTATTCTCATTTCTTTAAGAGTTTAATAAATAATCTAAAAACAATCTAAGTTATATTATGACAGTACAATGGTTAGTGATGGCTCAGTATAGTAACGCTTCAAGGATCCTGAGGGATAACAGGTTTGCATTTTAAACAGAGGCATTTACTATAGAGACATGATGCCCCAACTCAAAAAGTTTTAACAGTAGGTATTTCAGATCATAAAGGTTTTAAGTTCTTAAAGTCGTAACACACAATAGACAACTACTAAGAATTACATTATGCTTAACTTTCCAAATTGCTTCAGAAAGAATGTTCAGTTTTTAAAACAAGATACGTCAGTATTAATCAAAAGATAAGGAGGTAAATTATAACTCAATAAACTGTTTTTAAAAAGATAGATAGATAATGCTCCCTCCGCATCACATATATTAAAATTGGAACAATACAGAGAAGATTAGCATGGCCCTGCTTAGTGATGACACACAAATTCATGGAAAAAAATGTAGATATACAGGATGTTTATATATTCACATTCATTTAGGAATTCTGTAGTCATTTCTTATGATGAAAATATTATTTGACCTTTCAACTCTCTCTCCAGTTAGGGATATAAGGGGGTGCCTCAATAGTAAAGGTATTTTCTTAGTATTGGGAGGTGAGAGAGAACATTGTGAGCATTTTAGATTTGGGTAAACCAGCATGAAACACACTCATCCTCCCCATGTCCCAGAGTGATTGGCTAGTCTCTGCCTTACAAGGAAAGGAGGGTCCTAAACTCTTGGTTGGGTATTCTAGGTGACCCTGAGTCAGCTGTGACTGAGCTACAATGTGTTTGGCATGACCTGAACTACATGAAGTGCACTTGGCTCCCTGGAAGGAACACAAGTCCTGATACTAACTATACTCTCTATTACTGGTAAGTATGGACAGGAGACTTACAGTGGAAGAACTGATTGTGATGGTGTTGGGAGCCTTTAGTCTAACCTAGTTAAAAAAGAAAAGAACAGCCTGGCTAGTGTGGCTTAGTGGATTAAGCATCGTTGTTCCATGGACTGAGAGGTCCCAGATGGATTTCTGTTCAGGGTACAGGTCCGGGTTGCAGGCTCGATCATCAGTAGGGGGCATGCAGGAGGTAGCCAATAGATGTTTCTGACATCCATGTTTCTATCTCTCCCTTCCTCTCTAAAAAAATCAAGAAAAACATATTTTTAAAAAATCTTTAAAAAGCCCTGGCTGGTTTTGCTCAGCGGTTAGAGTGTCAGCCCATGGACCAATGAGTTGCGGGTTCGAATCTGGTCAAGGGCATGTACATCAGTTGCAGTTCATCCCTGGATCTGGTTGGGGTCATGTGGGAGGCAACCAGTCAATGTGTCCCTCTCACGCTGATGTTTCTCTCTCCCTCCCACTTTATCTGAACAAAAATGGAAAAATATCCCCGGGTGAGGATTAAAAATAAATAAATAAATGAATCTTTTAAAAAAGATAGAGAAAAGAACAGCCTATTCTTTTCAGCACACCCAAGAAGATGGGCAGTTTGCTTGAGCGAGAAATGCATCTGATTTTGGTGTCTACTTTTTTTTTAAACTTAAAAAAATAATTGTAGACCCACAAGATATTGCAAAAAATGCACAAGGAGATCCTGCATACCCTTCACCTAGCTTCTCCCAGTGGTAACATCCTATATAACTAGAGTACAATATCAAAACTGTACAACTGGTATCAGTACAATCCACCAAACTTATTCAACATTTACCAGTGTTAAATACACTCATTTGTGTGTGTGTGATTCTATGCAATTTATCAGATGTATTGACATAGAATCGTTCCATTACCACAAGGATTCCTCAAGTTTCACTTTTATTGCCTTTTATAGAACTCTTTTACACCCCACTCTGCACTCCTCTCCCCTAAGTCTCTAGCCTCTGGCAGCCACTAATCTGTTCATCTCTATAATTTTGTCATTTTTGTTACTGGAATGAAATTATACAGCATATAACTGAGGTTGACCTAAATAAAAACTCTGCATGATACCCTTGAGATCTCTCTATCCAAGTTATGTGTATTAATAGTTCATTCCTTTTTTTTAATCTTTATTGTTGAATGTATTACAGATGTTCCTCATTTTTCCCCCACTGACCCCCTCCTCCCCACTCCTGCCCCCCTCCTGCCTTTTCCCACACTGTGTCTGTGTCCATTGGTTATGCATATAAGTTCTTTGGTTTATTTCATCCCACCCCCCAACCCCCTTCCCTTTGAGGTTTGTAAGTCTAGCAACCACTTGGTACTTCTTAATCCCTTCACCTTTTTCACCCATTCCTCCAACCCTCCTTCCATCTGGCAACCAACAAAATGTTCTCTGTATCTATGAGAATGTTTCTGTTCTCCCTGTTCATTTTGTTTGTAGATTCTGTTGTCGATAGATATGTATTCATTGCCATTCTGTTTGTTCATATATTTTATCTTCTTCTTCAAAAAGACCCTTCAACATTCCATATAATAAGGGTTTGGTGGTGATGAACTCCTTTAACTTTTTCTTGTCTGGGAAACTCTTTATATGGCCATTGATTCTAAATGACAGCTTTGTAGGATAGAGTAATCTTGAGTGTAGGTTCTTGCTTTTCATCACTCTGAATATTTCTTGCCACTCCCTTCTGGCCTTCAAAGTTTCTTTTGAGAAATCAGCTGACAGTCTAATGGGAAATCCCTTATAGGTAACCAACTGCTTTTCTCTTACTGCTTTTAAGATTCTCTCTTTGTCTTGAACCTTTTGCATTTTGATGATGATGTGTCTTGGTGTGGGCCTCTTGGGGTTCATCTTGTTTGGGACTCTCTGTGCTCCCTGGACATGTATGTCTGTTTCCTTCACCAAGTTAGGGAAGTTTTCTGCCATTATTGTTTCAAATAGGTTTTCGATTTCTTGTTCTCTCTTTTCTCCTTCTGGCACCCCCAAGATGCGAATGTTGGCACACTTAAAGTTGTCCCAGAGGTTCTTTACACTATCCTAATTTTGGGGGATTCTTTTTTCTTTTAGCTGTTCTGATTGGGGTTTTTTGCTTCCTTAGATTCCAAACCCATGGTTTGCTTCTTGGCTTTACCTATTCTGCTATTGAATCCGTGTAAATTATTCTTTATTTCAGTTAGTGCCTCCTTCATTTCTGACTGGTCCTTTTTTATGCTCTTGAGGCCCTCACTAAGTTCACTGAGGTTCTCACCAAGTTCATTAAGCATCCTTATAAGCAGTATTTTGAACTCAGCATCTGTTAGGTTGCTTATCTCCATTTTGCTTAGTTCTTTTCCTGAAGATTTTTTCAGTTCTTTCATTTGGGACCTGTTGCTTTGTCTCCTCATTTTGGCTGCCTCCCTGTGTTTGTTTCTATGTATTACTTAACGAGAGGTATGGGGCTATCAGAGACCAGATGCTGCTTGTTTGAAAGAATTTAGGAAAACCTGAAGCAGGATCCAGGACAGGCCAATCCTATGGTTAAGCAACTGGCAACAGCTTGGGTGGGCCTGAAAGTTGGGTGGGGTGGGCCTGAAAGTTGGGTGGGGTGGGCGGGGCCTCAGGGAGTCACCAGGGTGGGGGAACCAGTGTGAGCCAGGTTGCTGGAGTCCCAGATATGGCGGCTGTGTGCTGCCCCAGGGAATGGCTCACCAAAGGAACAAAGGCCTCTGACAGCACATTTATCCAGGAGAAAGTCCCCTCTCCAGTGCCAAACAGCTCAGTTCTTCCCTGTATGTTTTTGGCGCCCCCTTAGCTGCCTCCCCTCCAAGCTTAGAGGGAGTGAGTTTGATAAGTCCGTGTGCGGGCCCATTAAGAGGAGCTGCCAGGGGCTCCAGCCGTGTTAGCCTCCCTGAGCCTCAGTTCCCATTGGTTTTTCCAGCCAGCAGTGATGTGGACTTCTCTTCCTAGCACTGGAACCCTGAGCGGGGCACCTGGTGTGGGACGTGGACCCCTCAGTCCTTAGGGAGGACCTTCCCAGCCGAGGTATCCTCCTGATTTTTGTTCACCACACATGGGTGTGGGACCAGCCCCTCCACCTCCGCCCCTCCTACCAGTCTAGATGCAGCTGTTTCTTTAATTCCATAGTTGTAGGACTTCTATTCGCTTGATTTCAGGCGGCTTTGAATGATGGTTGTTCTGTAGTTTAGTTGTAACTTTGATGTGGTTGTGGAGGACACGATACCATGTTTACCTACGCCTCCATCTTGACCGGAAGTCCAGTTTATTCCTTTTTATTGCTGAGTAGTATTCCATGCTATGGATGTACCAGTTTCTTTAAGCATTAATTTATTGAAGGATTATCTTGGTTGTTTCTAATTTTTTGAATGAAGCCTCTGTAAATATTTTTGAACATTTTATTTCTCTGGAATAAATGCCCAAGAATACAGTTGTTAGATCCTATGGTAATTATGTATTTAGTTTTATAACAAACTGCCAAACTGTTTTCTAGAGTGGCTGTATCATTTTACATTCCCACCAGCAATGTATGAGTCATTGGTGTCTGCCTTGAAAAAGGAAAATCATATTATATTCAGGGTTAAAAAGTAGTTTAGGTCCCCACAAGATAACTTACATTTGATATTTGTTACTATAGCTACAAAATCTGAAAAATTCCTAAGTTGATCTTTAATCATTTTTCTTTAAAGGCTAGAATTATTAGCAACAGGACAAGGAAGAAAGGACTAGGTTAATCAATTCAATAAAACGTTAATTAGCACACATTGTGGGTAAAGAACTAAATGGGCAGCTGAAATAAGAAACATATATCTTTTCTTCTAAAAGCTTAAAATGTAGAGAGGTAGCCCTGTCACTTGGATGCCTCTTATTTATCATTATCTTCTTTTTTAAAATTTATTTTTATTGATTTTTTTTTTAGAGAGAGAGCAGAAGAGAGAGATAGAAACATTGATCAGCTACCTTCTGCATGTCCCCTACTGGGGATTGAGCCCACAACCCGGGCATGTGCTCTGACTGGGAATCAAACCAGGACCTCTCAGTCCATGGGATGATGCTCAATCCACTAAGTCACACTGACTGGCCTGTCTTTATCTATCTCAAACATCACTTCCTCTCCAGAAAGTTTTTCTTGACCTCTCAAGTCTAGCTCTCTGTACCCCATCATCATTGTGTCCCATGGTACCTTGTACTTTCCCATGCCACAGTACTCAGCACATTGTGTTGTCATTTCCTGTTTACTTAGTGCTAGCCCTCTCCAGAGTGCAGTCTCCCCTGAGAGCAGGGACTGTATCTTGTTTACCCCTGTGCCTGACATATGGTAGGTGTTCCATATATAAGTTTTGAATATTTGGTAGGATCCAAAGCAAGGGAACATTTGGGACTGGGGTGAGAATTTAGGAGGGATAAACAACTCATAAACATCATAATTCAGCACTACAAAGGGGATGATTGAGTAGATTTGACTCCATAGAGAATTATTAGTGAAGGAGCCAGAGAACTAAGCCTTAAAAGGAGTAGCCTGCCTCTGATGATGTTGCAGTGTAGTCTGGAGAGAGCTGTTATTACAGGCTTTTAAAAGGTCTTAAAAGTTGACAACATCCTGTGTTTATTGTGCTCTTAACTCCTCTTACTTTCCCTGGAATCCTTATTGGTATAATCACAGGGAAGACCTTTTAAAGAATCCATGTCTATAGAGGGGACAGGGAAAGGAAGGGAAGACGTCTTAAAACTGTCTTATTCCATGGCAGACTATGCAGGAAAGTAACCCAGATATAGGAATTGGGCTGACACTAGAGATAGATTGTGGTCTAGTCCTTGGATTTCTTGTAAGAAAAATAGGGAAGTGCCTTGGGTAATATATTACCACAAACCAAATCTTAGAGCAAATTGCAAAATGATTGCCCTCCTGGGTGAATAACTTACAAAAAACTGGACCAACTAATTTGAAAAAGCATTCT